TTCCTTCGCCGCCTTCAAGTAGGACAGGAGCCAGGTTCGTGCCTTCTCCACACGCTTCACCGGGATGAGATGGTCCTTGGAACGGCTATCTTTCCTTTGAGACCTTCGAGCTGCCTCCACCCCTGACTGAACATCGTCCTCGTGGCTGTACAAGGTCGCATACAGCGACGTGGTGACCCACCTGGCTCGAGGCAGCACGCCCGCCAGCCAAGCCACCCTGCCAGCTGCCTTTCTTAGCTCTGCCGTCCCAATCATTCCTTTCTTGTCCCACGCTTCCAGCTGTTTTTGGAGTTCATCCATGAACTTTTCCGGGAGCGTGACCAGCAGGTGATCGTAGTCGGGTGCCACTAGCTTGAAGTGGATTCCTATCCAGGTCACAGCCGCCGATCGTTCGCCCTTGCCCAGCGACAAACGCAGCCCGAGCGCTGCCATCGTGTGGATGATGCACGACAGGGTATGGTTCCTCTCATGCAGCTTGCCCCCTAGCACCCACAGGGAATCGTCCAGGTATACTTGATGCATTCCCCGTTCCGCCGGTATCACTGATTGCAGCAGTCGGGCTATGCAAGCTGCCACCCGGCTCCAGGTCAGTGGTGCAGTTTTGAAGCCAAAGAGGAGAGCTATGAACAGCAACCAATGCTCGTCGTCCAAAGCTGGCGCTAGACAGTGGCCCTTCTCCTCCTCCGCCACTGCCAAGTGCATGTAGGCATCTGATACGTCTATCATCACCAGCTCCAGGGTCTTGTCCTGCGGCCTCACCAATTCGGCTTTCGACGCATGCATCCTCCGAACCATCGCTATGGCGTCCGTGGGTCTGGGCAAGATCAAGCGCTCGGGGAGTACTGCCTTCCTGTTGCCTCCTGACCTCCTCAAGTCTATTATGATCCTTCGCTTCTTCGCTCCTCCCTCCTTCGTCTTGACGATGAGCCCCAGCTTGGAGATTGTCGTACCTTTGAAGCCCGCCCTTTCGACTTCTCCTTTTCTGGCCTTGACGGCATAACCTCTGTCCATCAGCCTGTCGATTTCTATCTTGGCATCTTCCTCTTGCTCCCTCACTGAAACGTAGTTGCCAATGTCCTCCCTCAAGCCTTGTGCAGCTTGCCAATCTTCTGGGCGTTGAATTTCCTCCTTCAAAGTCGGTGGGAAGATGTTGCAAGTCTTGATGGGGACGTTTATGCCCAGGGGCACCCCTTCTTTGATCCACCGGTGCACCTCCGTCTCCGGGTCCCCTCCTCTTCGGCACCATGCTTCTATCAAGTTCCCATCCATCGGAGATTGATAGGCCCATTTACCTGTCAACTTGATTGCTGGTGCCCCCTTAGCTCCTGTCAGCTTCCGCAGCTCCTCTTTCCATCTTTCCACCAAATGTGCTTCTAACTCGCAATCCTCCGACCCATATTCTTCGCCCACCTTCAACACCTTCGGGTTGTTCATGCAGTGCCTCTCCCAAGCTCCCCAAATGCGGCGCCCCAAGTTCTGCAGCGTCGGAATCCCTTCCACCACTTCCATCGGATTCTTCATGCCGCCTACGAAGCCCTGCTGGTCCAACCTCTTTTCTTTCTGCTTCTCTTCTTTGAGCATGCCATACTTCCCTTCGCCCGGCTTCCAGCGTAGGTCCACCTTCTCTCCTCCCTTCCTGTCTCCTCTTCTTGCTCCGCCGCGGCTCCTGCTTCTCCTTGAGGCCGACCTCCACCTTTTCTGTGCCCTCTTCTCCTCCAACTTCCTTTCCTCCTCCTTGCTCTTCCTTCTCCTCTTCTTCTCCTTGTCCTCTTCCTCTGCCTCCTTCTCCTTCGCCTTGTCCCTGCTCTCTTCCCATCTTCGTTTTTCTTCCTTCGTCCACTCTTCATCAACTCCTCTCTGAGCTTCGGGTGTAGGCGACAATTTCACCCCTTCTTTGTTCCTTCGTGTCCTCATTGATGTCGCCTCCGCATCGCCCGTTGCTATCTCGAAATGCTGATGTTCTTCTTCCCTCAACCTCCCTTCCAGGTATTCTGCCGTCGCCATCTTCTCGAAGTGGTCCATCAGCAAATAGGCATAGGCCCGGCAAAGTTCGACCGGGTACTCCCCCGACTCTTGGGATTCCTTCTTCCCGATGATCGGTCGATGTTTGGCTCCTCCGCATTTGCAGTCCCTGCTCAAGGATTCGATGCCGTAGAGAGTACCTGCGAATTGTTGTGGCTTGAAGTGACGATCACCACGTGCCCGATTTGCTTGGAAGGCACACGTGTTGAATTGGGCGATCTTGACACCAGCCATGCGTAGGTACCCCAACATTTCTGACATCCCCCAAGCCGACAGGTGGTCCTCGACGTCCGATGGAGGAGGGTTCTCCATTGATGTTGGTCTGGCCACTATCGTCGATGTGGGATTCTTTGCCAGTTCCTCGGCCAGCTGAACCGAGCGCGCAAGCATGACTGTCCCTCTGTCGCATTCCGCTTGCTGAGCTTGGGAGTTGGACTTCTTCCCGTGTGGTTCGCTTCGAGTTCGAACTGGTTTTGGAAGGTTAGGGGCATTTCGGAATCTCAGGCGCGAAAACGTCGAGCAAGGGAATCCTGAGTGGTACCCATCGATGAGGCCCTCCTTCGCCCACCTGAGATGCGCGTTGTAGGGCTCATCCAAACATAGGTCCTGGCCCCAGTCCCTCTCCGCCGCTATCACCTCCACGTTCAAGCCTCTTTTGGCAGCTACCTGATGGATAGCTGCTCCAAGTGGATCACGGGGTCCTGCAAAGTGATGTAGGAAGCGGAATCGCCTGGCCTTCACATACTTCTGTATCTTTTCTTCCAACCTCTCCTGAGAGGATTTCTCCTCCTCCTCCTTCTTTTCTCCTTTCTTTTCTCCTTTCTTCTCACCCTCATCCTCCTCTTTCTTCTTCGCCTCACCTTCGTCACCTGCTGCACGACTGTCTCCGGTCTCCTTCACTTCTTGGCTTGACACCTGATTGCTGGGTGACCCGGCGACCCACAGGGTGAACACTTGTGAGCCCGTTTCACTGCGTTCGTGCACTCCGCTCCTGGTGGCAATGATCCACACGGACTGTTCCCGTTGTTCCACGAGAAGCAAATGGGTTCCCCTTGCTTCCCTCCTTTTCCTTTCTTGCTTCCTCCTTTTCCTCCTCCTTTTCTCTCCCAACTTGATTCGCTTCGGGCTTCTCGAAGTCTTTGGAGCTCTTCTCTTTCCGCCTGCCATTTCCTCTTCTTCGCCTCCCGTCTGTCTCTGTTTCCTTGCCTTCTCGCCGTGGATGTAGTCGCCGGTGAAGTTGAGCCGAACGTCCCAGACTCCATCGCTGGCATCAACGAGCTCGTACCTCCACGTAGTGCGTTCTCGGCGATCGATTCCTGGGGGGTCATCGCTCTTCCTTTCGATCCGCTCGCAAGCCATGTGAGGGCCGGACTGTGTATCTGGTCCTGCCAAAATTTCATTTCGTTCGGCACCATGCGAATCAGGGCTTCCCATGGTTTCTTCTCGTCGAAGTTCAAGGGGACCGGTTTTCCTTCTTGCTGATCCATCGCCACCTTCAACTTCAGCCTCGACAGCAGTTCCCCTCTCGCCATCTCGTCCGCCGCGTACACCAAATGCCAGGCGTCCGGATATAGCCGAGTCAGCTTCTCCACGTACAGCTCGTAAGCATGAAGGGGGGCCAAGGCGCATTCCTGCAACATGATCATCGCCGTCGTGAACACCCTGAAGCATGCCCTCCATTGTGTGAAGTTGGCTGGACCCGGCAGTTCCTTCGACACGTAGCCCTCGGCCGTCGGTACCCAGGTTCTGTACCTCGAAGCCCTCAATGCTTTCCTTCCGAATGGCACGAACACTCCAAAGTCCGCGAAAGGAGGTTTTCCCATCGACAGCTTCTTCTTCAGGGCCGAGAGCTGTTCTATCGTAGGCTCTTCCTCCTCCTCGGGCAGGGATCCCGTCGTCGCGATGTACTTCTGGAGCAACGTCATCTTCGCTTCTTCTCCCAAGACCTCGAACTCGCCGTCGTCTCCTTGGTCCAACACTTGAGCGAATTTCAAAGTCCTGTCCTTCGTGGCCTTCGCATCCGGGTCGATTGAAGTGGGTCTCATTGGGCTCGAAGAGGATGAATCGTTCAACCCTGAGGTACTCCATGGATCTTCCTCCACCCAGTTGTCCCAAGCACCTCCGCCCTTCGTGTACATGATCTTCCTCGCCAATTTCCACACTAACCCCACATGGGCAGCCTGCACGGCAGTTAAGGGGACATCCGAGGGGAGCATGGCCTGCGACAAGGCAGCAGCAACCACACTGCCCGGAAGGGCAGCGAGCAAACGCAAGTCGTTGCCAGGGGAGCCGGTCTCCTGAGTGAAAGCTTCCCAAAGCTCCGAAGTCACTCCAAAGTGCTGGAGCAGGTCGTCGACCGATTGCATCCCCAGGGCCGTGGCTGCCGTCGGAAACATGGCGGCAAAAGAAAAGCCAGCCCGCGAGGAATACCCCCATCCTACAAAGCCATTTGACCTTGCAGGGATAGGGACTTGAGCCAAAATGGCATCAAGCCACTGTCCCCACCCAGGCCCTACTCAGGGTTGTCACCCAGAAAATTCCATTCTTCCATTTTCTTCTCACAAAAGCTTCTGCTCTTGGCACTGTTTGTCGGCCTGGGATGGTTCCTACAAGTGTGCCGACAACAGAGATGTCAACGTCAGAGCCTCGGAAAAAACTCTCTTGCTTCTTGCTTGTTGTTTACGTATACAAACGTGCAGAACATGGCAGGGGGCTTTAAGAACAGGTTACTCGTAGCCCATCCTCTCGTTCTCTTTGAAGTCATGCACCATGGAGCGATTGGTTCCTTTGATGCTTGTCTTGTTCTTTTCCATGTTCTATCATTCTCTTCTGGTTGCATCGTTTTTGCCCCAAAACACTCTTTCTGCACTTTCTGCACAACAATTACTCTGCCATTGTGTCACGATTCAGAAAACCTGCTCTTTCATATTTGGCGCAGGCCTCTCATCCCATGTCTCATCCCCTGTCCCGGGCCCCGCCTGACTGGAGAGGGTTGCTGCTTCTGCCTCAAGCGAGCGAGCAACTCGGTCAGCAAGAACGGGCCCAAGAAGTTGGTCTGCCACGTGCTGTCACCTCGAACGAACCAGAAGGGTCATTTCGTGGAGTTTCCCACCCCCCCGGTGGGCCTAACCCCTGCCCCCAGTCGCATCACATGCTACTAAGCAATCCAGCCATGTGAAACAAACAAGGATCAAGAAGTGCTGACAAAAATATCCGCAGTGCCCACGCGGAAACGCGGAATCAAATCTTAGCAGGCCAAACTCACTGAACTGATGTGAAAAGGCCGGATCTTTGAAGCGAACACTGCTTGGAAATCTGCGTCGAAACACAACATCATATCGCGCATACGGTTCAATCATACATCACTGAGACAGCAAGAACATCTGTTGCAGGCAGTTCTAGGGAGTGGCAAAAGCCTCCCTGAGCCCCAAACTTCGGATGCGATTGGCTCATAGAACCTTTCGTTTTCCAAAGTCAAACTAGCATGTTCTCAGATCTTCTCGCAAACACTCAACGGAGCAGAAGTACTTTTTGCCATCGAGCTGAAGTCTGAGCTCTTGCTTCCTCTGCTTCGTAGCCCTTTTGGCCGTACTCCCCTTCCATCTCCACAGCCGCCGTTGCACTCCACAGTGGGGATCTCCTCGTCGTTCAGGATGATGTAGCCATGTGCTCCATGCTCTTCGTCACTGAAGTCACCTAAGGCTCCATGTTCACCCTTGTCGATCAGAGTTCCCACTCTCGTGGCGCCATGCTGTTGCGACTGGTCGTACATGGCTTTCGGTTTCTCGAGGGGGTGGCGCTCAGCCTCATAGCCCTTGTTCTTCCTGGGTGCCAGCAGCTGACCATCGGCACGCGCCATCCCCTTCGCGAGGTCCTTTTGCCGCTCATGCGACTCCCATAGGTAGCCATGAAAGGCATCTGAATTCCACCTTCCAAATCTCTTGACCACGTCCAGGTCCTTGGTGGTTTGGTACATAGCCGTAGCTCCACCAATGCGTAAACTGTGAGAGCCGTATCGGGTCGTAGATTGCCCGTCTGCCACCGCCGCCAACTGGATCAGGTTCTGGATATCACCACGTTGCAGCGGTTTGCCATCTTCAAACCTGAACAGGGGCTGGTTTTCTTCTGCCCCTGCAAAACGTTCAGGCTTCATGTTCTGGTAGTCCGCGAGCGCCGCCACCACGCAAAGTTCATTGCCACTCCGGAACTGATTGCGCACGGTGCCCTGGTTGTATTGGTCCGTCTTTGACCCTTTGAGGTAGATCACGATCTCCTCCGCCTGGTAGAAGTTTGCCACCTGCTTGTTGTCCTTGCGGGCCTCAATGTCGCTGCCCTTCAAAGTTCGTGTACTGCCCCAGCTCCTGCCGATCGTCACCAAGAACTCCGACGCTCTCAGGAGGAAGAAGAAACCCACCATGACGGCAGCCCACAAGATCACCTGGTCACATTTGCTCAGCGTCTCACTGGTGCTCAGGTGCCGCTTGATCCAGGTCAACATCCCCGGCAGCACCGGGTACTTGCGCTTGGTCTCGGGCTGCCATCGCTTGTAGCCATTCAATGCTGCCCAGATGCGAACTCTGTTCATAGTGGGGTCATCGTGCCCTGCCACCAAATGGCCCATCTTGATCGCGAAGAGCCGTTGCTTCACCGTCCCTTCGGTCCGCCCCATGACATGCGCCAGGTAGGTCATGAACCTCAGCAGCTCATCCTCATCGGCCTTCCGCTCATCCTTGGTCTCCCCGGTCAGGTAGACGCTCTTGTTGCCCATGCGTCGCCACAAGCACCATTGTCTCCAACCAACTTCATAGCCTGCGCGTGTCCCCTCCGAGAGCTTGGACATGACTGCCTCTGCCGCCAGTGCATCCAACCATGCTTGATCTCGACGAAGCTCTTTGTTGGCGTCCAACTGTAGCCGTTCGCGACCTCGTCCAATTGCACTAGGCAGCACCAGTCGGTCCGGCGGTGCTGATCTCGCCCTCTTCAACGGGGCTTGCCTGCGGCCGCCGACCTTGTCCACCTCCTCATCCCCTTGTCTATGAGACACCAACCATCTCTCATAGTTCGCCCGGGGGTTCTGATGATCTCCTTGCCAAGCTCGCATCCAGGCCCGAACATGTTCATCAGCTTTCAGCCTGTCTGGGTCGGTGCACACCCCCACTTTCGCCTCAGATGAGGCATTGGTGGACTCGTGATCCTGCCGCCAGCGTTCGAACCAAGCAACAATCCTGTGGGCGCTTTGTTGTGGGAACTTCATCGCTGCATTCTTCTTGAAGTATTCCTGACTCGCCCCAAGTTCATGTAGTGCTCGGACGTCATCGAGCCTTCCGCCATTGAGTAACCACTCCTCTTCCGGCCCGAGCCTCCGTGCTTGGACTTCGGTACCGCGGTGATCGAGGACCACCATCGATCTCCCCTTCCGGCATGTCAGTGCTGGCCCTCGAATATCGTAGAGGAGTTCCTTCTGGTCATCCATGTGGTTCTCCCGGAAGTGGCCGGCAGGCCATGGTAGCATGCGGTCTCCTGATGTTGAGATCTTGCTGTTCAGGGTCAGCTCGGTGTCCCGGTCAAGCCATTGTGGCTTAACCGATCCTGCAGCTGGGTCCAACGTGCGTTGGATGCTTGTCGGCTCAGCCGCGCTCCTTGGTGGCATGCAAGCTCCATCATTGGCACGACGTCCATCGCGAAGTGCTCCAAGAACAATGACCTTCCTCTTCGCGATTGGATCCCCGTAGTGCGTCGTCAAGCAGTCGAAGGTATTTACCCTGTAACCCAGCTTCTCCAGGTCTGTCTGGAGGTCATCAAGCGGCCCATCTTTAGCCACATCGATCAACACGCATCTTGGCTGGTGCTTCTTCACGAAGTTCCTAACATAGGTGCGGCTCCCCCCCCAACTGTCCTCCGCAACTGATGCAAAGGCCCACGACAGCTCGGTCTCCTCAGTCACCGGGTCAATGTCATGGAAGTGGGCCTTCTCGAGCTTCTCATCCAGCGGTGTGCATTTGGCATCCGTCCTGCAAACTTGGCCCCCTAGACGATGCCAGGCAACAATCCAAGGCAGCATGCCTCGTCCGAGCTCCACGGCATACCCTGAGGCGACTACGGGGCGATAGGGCTTGGTCTCATCATTTGCAACCTGAGACACGCTGCCCAAGTTCTCCCCTCCAGGCCACCGGAAGATCCCCGCCACGGACTCGTCGATGTAGTGCGCCCAGCTCTCACCAGCTTCCACCTTAGACCATCCATCGAGCTCCATCTGGGTTTCCACGACCTTCTTGGTCTCCCGGCTCAACCAGTCCGCGGTGATGTTGTGATACGTCCGGATATAGAAGGCCACCGTCTTGAAGTGGAAGCGAACCTCCAGCATGCCCAAGATCCGAAGCATGTGGCGAGCCACTGCACATTTTGACTGACGCTTCGTCAGCCAGGAGCGCACGTTCTGATTGTCAGTCGCATAGGCAATCAATTCACCGTGCCATTCACCACTCTCGGCTGCTGCTAGGCCAACAAAGCATAGGAGCTCCGCCAGGGCAATCTTCATCTCCGGGTCGTCAACAAGCTCTGGAACCTTGCCCATGGCCTGCAGCATCTCCTTTGCGTCCTCCCGCATGTAGCGCTTGGTCTTCCAATCGAGTGCGCCCGCCACCTCCGGCGTGGCGTCTCCTCCAACCCAGCGCAGCCTCTCACTCATCCCGGGTAGCGCCAGGAGCTCACGTGTTGTCAACATGCTTTCCATTGAGGCCTCAAACGACCCTGCGTAGGGAGTTTCAAACCAAAGCCTCAGCAAGGCCAGCATCTCGTCCCAGCAACGCCAGGCTCGCTCTGAACCTTCCTCATCGTTGACATTCGGCCGGATGTAGCCACCCTCGCAGCGATTGGGGCACAGGAAGAGGTCGATCGTACTGAGTTCAGTGCGCAGGGGTGGTATAGTGATAGCCGCATATTGACCCAGCCCCCGAAGCTCCTGGGCCACCCTCAAGCGCACCAAGCGTCCTCCATATTGAAGCTCAGGGAGCGCAAGTAGGTAGCGCATCTTCAATGCTTTCGGCTCAGGTAGCCTAATGGTCATGTTGTCGACGTTCATGAACAAGCCCCAGACGATCTGTTCCGTCGCGGGTGTGCCCTCCTCGATCTGCTTCTCGAGGTTCAAGGCGTCCTGACCCCAGATCTTCTCGATGGCATGTCCAAGTGAATCCACAGCTTGCCAAGGGCGGACGCCCACCAGGGGTTCCACAACAACGCTGTCGTCCATCAGCCACTCTGATGAGAACGGGCTCGGGCCATTGATGGTCTCCTCGGCGGGCTTGAAGCTTTCATGGTAAGCCCTTCCTGCCAGAGCGAACGCCATGTACTCACCGGGTGCACCGCACCAGCCGAAAGGAAGGCCTCCATAGATCATCTTCACTCTTCCTTCCACACCCACTGGATCACCTGGAAGGGCGCTGCCAAAGTCCGAAGTGTCCTCTGGCGCCACATCATGCCACTTGAAGGCCCTGCTAACATCCAGCTTGGCTATGAGGCATCTGATGCCTGGGTGGCGAGCTCTCCACCAAACCGTTTTCCGGGCGATCTGCCGATGGCGCGGTTGCACGGCCGGCGGGTGCTGGTATTTGTGGGTGGCTGCATTTGCGGTCATCATTGCATGGATGGGTCGCCCCTCGGCACTGATGCTCCTATCTGGCAGCTGTTTGGGTACGCGCCCCTGCGGGCACTCGATGAGAGTCTTGGTGCACTCCTCCGTCATGTCCGAGGCGGAGAGTACAATGCCCCAATGACCATCTTTCCAAGCCTTCTGGTACATCTCCTCGAGGTGGTCGACGGCTGATGGGTAAGGTTCTGCTCTCAACCTCCTTGGTGGGTAATACCTGCGTGTCCGCACACCCTCTTCATTCATGGCCTTGAGGTAGTCGGCATGGTCGGCCTCCAAGCAGTCCAGGACCTCTCTCGACGTTGCGCCACTGGTAGGAATCCCAATCACCTTGCGTCTTGCCTCACGAAGGCCCCTCATCGCATTCTCGAGTGTCTTGGCCGTCCTCAGCAGGTCGTCACCCAGCCTGACAGCGGTCTTGATCACC